TTTGAATTTTAAATTATAATTATAATCATAGCGTGTATGATTGAATTCTCCCATAAAAACTTTTAATTATTAAGTGGAGCTCAACTAAATTAGCAAGGTGGTGTAGGGTATCATAAAATCGGCCCCGCCCGACTTTAGGACTTTCTTTACTGGTTTGTCTATAACGTCGGTTTTTTGTAAAACGGTTTGACATAAGCTTAGATGGAGTGCGACTTTTACCAGTGTTATTTTTTTTGTAATTTTGAAACACGTGATTTTTTAATTTAAATGGGTTCTTAAAGTGTGTATCATTCCATTTTTAGCTACGTCGTAGTTTCTACTTGTCAAATTCGTTAGCTTTTACTTCGGAATTCAATAGAACAACATTTGTTGGAATATCATCGACATACTCCAAAAACAAATACACATATTAGAGCTTTTTTGTATACCACAGCTCTGACATTGAAGCTCTCAACAATGCCCATAAAAGCTTGTGCGCATAAAAGCTAAAAGCGTTTTGTAAAGCAAGGAGACGTGCTATATAAAAAGAAGAGAAATTTCATTGTTGTTATGTTTTGGTAGATGGCGCTGTCACAATATCATGACACTATTTCATTTAGACTAAATATATGATGACAATAATAACATCCCTCATAGTCTGATATTCAGTAGTCTGATTACTGATGGTGATATGGCGGTGGTTTGGAAATGCGTCCTACTTACTAGATTTGTTAGTTGGTGAAGAGATATGCCTGGAATCCTCACATTTGAGCTCTCAGTTGATATCTGGAAGTGGGATATAGAGGTGGTTTAGGAAATGTATACTATAATTGTACGGAGAGTACTAAATCTGGTATTGGTTGATGGAATAGAGCAGAAATCCTGAAAATTAGCATGGATGTTACGCTTAGTTTGCGTGGTTGAGAAAAGAAGCTGGTTTTGGATATTCGTACCATAATGGTATGAAATCATACTAAATTTGATAATAAGGGAAATTGCAGAGCTGAAATCCTGAAATTTGACAATGTCTATCCGAAAACTACTGTGTGGTACTAAATTGGGTATTCGGTGAAGGGTTAGAGCTGGTATCTCGTAATTTGATATTGGGGTCTATGTTGGTATCTGAAATTGAGATGTGGGGGTTATTTTGGAAATGTGTACCACAAGTGCATGAAAAATACTAAATGGTACAATATTATACTACAATTTGGTATTGGGTGAGCAGATAGTGCTTAAAATTTGGTATTAAGGTCGCTGTTCATGTGTAGCCTGGACATAATGAGGTGGTTTGGTAAAAGTGTACTATCATTGTACGAAAAGTACTGAATGGTACTATATTTGGTATTTGTTGAGCGGATAGATAGCTTGAATCCCAAAATTTCGATAATGAGGTGTCTTTTCGTATCTGGAAATGAGATATGGAGGTGGGTTGAAAATGTGAAGAAAAATTGTTAAAAACGAACATTGTACTAAATTGGTTATTAGGTGAAGAGATAAAGCTGGAATTTTGAAATTTGGCCTTGAAGTCTCTGTTTGCATGTGGAATTGGCGTATGATTTTGGAAATGTGTACTATAACTGATCGAAATGTCCTAAATGATACTAATTTTGAATCACTATTGGTATCTAGGATGGAGAGATATAGATTGTTTTGGATATGCGTACTAAATGTTTACTAAATTTGGTATTGGGCAAATGAATAAAGCTGAAATTCGGAAATTTGATATTTGGGTCGCTCTTGATTTCTAGGATTATTATTATATGGAGACGTTGAAATAGTTGTGCATCGAAAAATTTGAAATGGGTTCACCGTGCAATCTAACATCCTCTCCGGTAAACATCAAAATGAATGAAATGAAAATGTTGAAGACTTTCAGATGCAAAAAGTTAACATTTTCCTATTGTTCTGTTCGAAAAAGAAAAAACTTGAATAATAGATAAAACCTTAAAAGTCTGACAATTTAGTTCAATGTATACATTTTTATACCCTCAGCCGTATGGTCACAGAGGATATATATCATTTGATACGGTCAAAACGTGCCTCATAGACCCTAGGTCTCTTCGGACTAAATCGGTTTCAGGACACTTGGAGTCGGTCTAGCGATGTCCGTCCGTGTGTCTGCATGTATGTCTGTTGGTTGGTGCGCACGATAACTCTCGAAGAGAGTATCCGATTCGGTTCAAACTTGGTTCATCTTAGTATTATTATCAAACTTAGATCGAGTTCGAAGATGGGCAATATTGGTTCACACCTTTTGGTAACTCCCCCACAAAAGGTCAATATTTTCAAGAATAAATTTCTGCACAGAAAGAGAAAGGAAAATCCGAATTTGCTCCAACTTTGAAAATTTTAATATATGCATGAGTGCTAGGTCAGGTGAGAAAATGGACAATATCGGTCCACTCCATCAAGTACCTCAAGCACAAAGGATCAAAATTTTGATTAACTATAACTCTAATAAAATGCGATATAAGAATCTGTTCGTCTTTAAATTACACACATTACAACATTTTTATTAACCCAAAGTCTAGTGTGAAGATGGAATACATCGGTCCACCCTTTCTGGTAACTCCCCTACAAAAAGGTGAACACTTTCAATATACGTTAAGCCCATAAAATGCGAAATTAACATCCGATTCCATTCAGACTTGATACATTTCAATATGTACATCAACACAATGTCTGTTAAAAATTTAGTAGAGATCGGACCATTCCTTCTGGTACTTCCCCCACAAAGGGTGAAAGTTTTGAGTAACCAAAACGTTCATAAAAACCATTATTTCTAATTATTTCTAATAATAAAAGATCTATTGTGAAGATGAGATGTATCGTTCCACTCTTTCTGGTACCTCAAAATTTTGAATATCCATAAAGGTCATAAAAAGCGAAATTAACATCAGTCTGTATGAAGACTTTGTACATCTAAATATTTCTATCAACACAAAATAGGTTATAAAGATGGTACCTCTGGTAACTCCCCCACATAGAGTTCAAGATTTTGAAAAATAAAACGCTCAATGATAGCGAAATTAGCATCCAACTCTCTTCAAATTTCACACATACAAACATTTTTGCTAACACATGATCTGTTGTGAAGATGATACATATCTGCGAACCCCCTCACCCACAAACGGCCACAGTTTTCAATATTTTTATCTATCATAACCTGTGAAAAAATATCAACCAGAAACCTGGGATGAATATGGAATCTATGGGTTCGCATAAAATTGGATATAAATGTTCGATTATCTTATAATTTTGCCTATACTAATATTTGTATTTTTATTAGATGAAATATGAAAATCGAATACCTTGGTCGACTATATCTGGTACCTCACACACATTTTTACATTTTGTAAAAATTACCACACTTCTCATTTAAAGTGAAGGAAGTAACCAATATTGTCCAAACTTGGCACGTCGCAATATAATATTTATTAATACGAAATGTACAATATTTACCCATTCCTTCGAAACTTACTCCATAGAGGATCAAACATTTGAATAATCATAACAGAAGTCAAAATGTATTTAAATAATCGAACATTGGCTGAGGGTATACATCTGTCGTCAAAACCGACTGATACTTTCCAACTTTTTTTTATTTTTTGTATATAAAAGTTTCAGTAAGTAAAGCTTAAAAGTCGGGCGGGACCGATTATATGATACCCTACACCACTATGGATATTTAGTAGAGCTCTCATAAAAGAAAGGTTTATATTGGGCATTTCTGAACTCTATGAGATATCTGGTACAAAATATGATTATGGTAGAGTGCATATTCCCAAAGTTGGAGATTTCAACACCATATCGGATGAAACATTTTTATGGAGCTAGAGCTATATCTGAACCGATTTTTACCTAGTTTTAAATGTTAACTTCTAGTATGAATTCGCTCGGAAGTGCAACTTTTCACTCACTTTGGGCTGAAATTAGGCATTTGGTGCACAAAAACCCTAAAATCGGACGAAGATATATAGGGGAGCTATATCCAAATCTGACCCGAACTTGATAAAATTTGATTTATGAATTGCTAGACTGTATCTGATATCTGGTGCTAAATATCAGTCTTGTGGAGTGCATATAACGAATGTAAGGGACTTAAACAACAAACTCGGATGAAACATATATATGGGAGCTACAGCTATATCTGAACCGATTTTAAGCAAATTTGAAGCACATGCTTGTAAGCTGAATTCGGTCGGATGTAGCAAAATTCACACCATTTGGAGTGATATTAGCCATTTAGTGCACAAAAAACCTAAAATCGGATGACAATATATATAAAAGCTATACATAAATTTGGACCGATTTTCACCAATTTCAATAGGGCCCATCATTGGGCCAAAAAAATGTTATTTTGACAATTTCATCTCAATCGAATAATAAATGCGACCTGCATTTTGTTTACAAAAATACATGGACAGACGGACGACGGACAGACAGTCAGACGGTCTGACGGACAGACGGTCGGACATGCATAAATCGACTCAAATTGGAACTATGGGTCTATCTCGTTTCCTTCTCCATGTTACAAATGCACAAAGACATAATACCCTTACCACTATGTGATGTAGGGTATAATTAGTGTCTCTCTCACCCGCAAAATATTATTCCTTAAACACTAGCTCCATGCAAAATTCCGAGTCAGTTGGTCTATAATTGTGACCTCTATAGTAACTGCAAAAGCAAGAAAATTTTCTGCAAATATCTCTCTATCACCTTAACCTACCTCAATTAAAAATCTCGTGAAAAAAATTTAGATCGACTCCGCCACGCGAGATAGGATGTAACCTTCTATGTCTGGGACCAATATTTCAAATTTATAATGCCCCAACACATAGTTTTGTAGGGTATTGTTAATAAAACAGCATTGAACTTATTTGTTTTTTTTATTTATTTAAAAATGTTCTATGTAACCTCATTTAATATGTACTACATGTTTTTTCATTTCATCTACAGTTACATTTGTCACACAATGTTCTTCATAAATTACAATCATTTTACATATAGAAAAAATAATATAAACCAAAAAAATATTACAAATTAATTAATATTTTTTTATATAAATCGAAAAAGGAAATAATAAATAAAATTATTTAAGTGTAAATAGGAAATACATTCAGTATGTTATGTGGTGTATACATATGGGAAATTTTCTTTTGTATATATATGGAGATATCTGACAGAAAGTCAACTGGATTCAAATACAATCTGCTTAAGTTCGTCTCGGTATTTCAATATTTAACAATCGATAACTGGTTTTATTTGTTCAAGGTCTGTAAAAAGGCTTAGCTGTCTCTCTCTCTCGCTCACTGTTATTGTTGTGGTTGTATTGGTATTTTCAAATACATTCATATATATTTTTTTTGTTTTTATATTTTGTTCCATATAAGGTACACAAGGACACAATGATTTTTTGTTTTTTTTTTTTACTTTTAATTGTATTTATATATGTGTGTGTGTGTGTGTGTTTTAAATATTATTTGTTTTTAATCAATTATTGTTACCACGTTTTCATATATTTCAGGTTGGCATTGGTTTTTCTTTTCTTAGAGATTTTCTAACAGTTATAGATAAAGTAAAGAAAATATAACAGTCTCATAAAGAATTGTTGTTGTTGATGGTCGTAGTAAAAAAATACGTGTAAATCATACAACATTGATATCTTTGTGGTATAGATCGTGTGATATTTTTTCAAAGTTCAAAGATTGTTCCAGATAAATATGTAGGTCTTTTTGTAGGACTATGTTAGTTGGAGCCAATACGCCAGAGCTCTTCTAATTTTGATTATGATTTGTAATTGTCTTCCTTTTTGGTTTTATTCGAAGTAGTTACCACTACAATAGGATTATTAAGTTGTTATTGTAAAGTTCGGTTATATCTTTTTAAATTCAAACATTTTAATAGTGCTATAGTGTGCTTTCGGTTCCTTGATTTTTTTATTCGAAAAAATAAATTCTTTTATTTTTGATATGAAAGCTGCCTTTGTTCATGTATTAGTTATTTGATTTATTTGTTATATTTTTGAGCAAAATTTTCACGGTTTGGAATTTAAGAAATCACAATATATTTTATATTTCATTCGCAAGTTTATTCCAGATACGATGCTTTTTATACCCTCCACCATACTATGGAGGGTATATTAACTTTGTCATTCCGTTTGTAACTCCTCGAAATACTCATGTCAGACCCAACAAAGTATATATATTTTTGATCAGCGTTAAATTCTAAGTCGATTAAGCAGTGTCCGTCTGTCTGTATGTCTGTCTGTCCGTCTGTTGTGATCACGCTATCTTTCGAACGAATTAAGATAGAAGGCTAAAATTTTGCACACGTGTTTATTTTTCTAGTAGGCAGGTTAAGTTCGTAAATGGGCCATGTAGGTCCATGTTTTCACATAGCCCCCATATAACGGTACCTCCCGATATTCGGTATTTTGAGGATTTTAGCGACATTATTCACCGGAATTGTTTCAAATTTTGTATTTGAGGCCCAGGTCTCCGTATAGGCCTCACATATCAGTACCTCTCTATATTCGGTATTTTGACAAGTTTAGGTACAATACCCACCGAAATTGTTAGAGATGTCGTATTTGAAGTTCGTAATGGATGCTATAGCCTGTGACAGAAAATTGTCTATGCTGATCCAGGTCTTCGCACAGCTGCGATATAACTATGTAGGTCCACCCAATATAACGGCTATATTCGGCATTTTTAAAATTTTAAGAGAATTTTCTTAAGGATTTAATTTTTTTAAAAATTTTTAAATTCGTTCCAACTGGTGTAGGGTATTCGAAGTTCGGCCCGGCCGAACTTACTGCTTTTTAACTTGTTCTTTTGTTGATATTTAAAACAACCTTTATAATTGGTTGAATTTTACGCAGGAATTACAAGATTAACAAATTAAAATGCACACGTCGATTTTGCCGACAGATGTATAACCTCAGCTAATACTCGTTTATTAAAATATATTTCGACTTGTGTTATGATTGTTCAAACTGTTGACCCTCTATGTGGGATTTTTTTCTTAGCTCAAATTTTAGATGTGTGAAATTTTAAGAGACTGGGATAATTTTGTAGCCTTTTTTTGAGTTTTATAACTATTCAAAATTTGGACCCGTTGTGGGTACGGAATGAAAAGGAGTAGCCCGATATAATCCATCTTCACGCCTTATCCTTCGTTTATGGACATATTAAGATGTGCCGTATTTGAAAATAATCAAATACTCAATTCCTTTTTAGTGAGCTTCATGGTTATTGAAAATATTGACCTGTTGTGGGGCAAGGCTGGCTGGTTGGTGAGCACGATAACTCTCGAAGAGAGCATCCGATTTTGTCCAAACTTGGTAAATCGTAATATAAGTTTTGGCCTTTGATACTTAGTTATTAATATGTCACTTGTCAGCACCTCCTGCCCTTCAGCATTAACTTCCGATTCAAAATTTTAACTTAAAACTTTACGCTACGTTTTGAGTTCCAAACGAAGCTATTTCACTTTTTCCCATTTTTATAACCTCAGCCAAACAGAGGATATATATCATTTGATAAGGCCAAAACGTGCAAACGAAATAACGAATTTAGACCCTAGGTCTCTTTGGACCAATACCGTTTCAGGACATTTAGAGTCGTTCAAAGGGGTGTCCGCCCGTTCGTCCGTCTGTCTGGTTGGTGCGCACAATAACTCTCAAAGGGAATGTCCGATTTGGTACATCGTTTTATTATTGTCAAACTTAAATTGAGTTCGGAGATGGAGAACATCGGCGAACTTTTTCTGGTATCTCCCCCATCAAACGTGAAAAAATCTGTTGTGTATCGTACCATCGCTCGTTACCATGATACTGGTAGCTTAACCCAATTTCAAGGAAGTGTACGGAAGAAAACAGCAACATCAGCAGAAATAGTTCGAAAAGTAATGAAGCGACTTGATCGGATCCCTCGTCGCAGTGGCCGAAAAATAGCTTATGACCTGAACATATCGCAATTTTCCATTCGGCAAATAGTGAAAAACGAACTCAGGGTAAAGCCATTGAAATTCCGAAAAGTGCAAGAACTTACACCGCAACAGAAAGAAAGTAGACTCAAATAATCTAAATAGTTGCTTCGCTTGGCCACCAGAACACAAGCGCCGGCAATGACGATGGTGTGGGCCGCCATAACAGCCGATGGTCGCTCTCCGCTCGTATTAATCGCCCGTGGCATCGGAATAAATACCGAATATTATCGAGAAAATATTCTGGAGGGTATATTAAAGCATTGGGCTCGCAAACATTTTGGTCGCAGACCTTAGACATTCCAACAGGACTCAGCACTAGAATGGTTACAAAATGAGCTTCATTTCCAGCGCAGAATGGTCACAAAAATCTCCATTGGACTATTGTGTCTGGAGTATTTTGGAAAGCAAGGTTGGCACTAAAAAATATAAAAGTGTCGATCACCTCAAGCAAGCGCTTCGCCTGGAATGGGCAAAAATACTGCAGAGCAACATTCGGGCAGCGTGTGACGGTTTCATTGGCCATTTGAAGGCCATAATTCGTGCCAAAGGTGACCAATTCGACCAAATCTAAACTTATTCTAAAATTTGATGCTATTTCCGACATTTTTTGCTTTCATTCAATAAAATTAAAAAAAAAAAAGAAGTAAAAAAACATCAAGTTCGGCCGGGCCAAACTTTTAACACCCTCCACCTTAGGGTAAAGGAAACATTAGAGGAAATGTTGCAAAAACCATTAAAATGCCGAATATCGGAGGTACCGTTATATCGTGGACCTACACATGCAACGTTTTGCCAAAGGAGCTAGAACCCATTATGACCTACAAATACCAATTTTCAAACAAATCAGTGAAAAAATGAGGCAAAATTCACCAAATTACCGAACATCGGGAGGTACCGTTATATGAGGGCTATACCAAAACGTGGACCTATAATTACAATGACTCGCCACACGCACAGGGATCTACCGTTATGACCTACAAATACCAATTTTCAGACAAATCCGTGAAAAAATGTGGCGAAAACCATCAAAATACCGAATATCGGGAGGTACCGTTATATGGGGACTATACCAGAACGTGGACCGATATATCTCATTTTCAATACCAACCATCCTAGACACAATACAAATTGCTCTGCTAAATTGTTGGCGCTCTACGTCAAATAATGTGGGCTGTATCGTGATTTCAACAGACAGACAGGCGGACAGGCAGACAGACGGACAACATTAAATCGACTTTGAATTTCATGCTGATTATGAATATATATACTTTATGGGTCTACGACGAATATTTAAGGATGTTAAATACGGAATGACAAAGTTAATATACCCTCCCTTTCAAGTTGGAGGGTATAATTATGGCGTATGACATTATTGCATATAATCATAATGTTAATGAAAACATATTTACATCTATCGGCAGAACCGATTGCGCTTTTTAACTGTTTTTTCAACTTCCGTCATTCTCGCTACATTTATCCTAATTTAGCTCCAAGTTTTCAAGTTTTTACTTATCTATGAAATATATAGTGACTTCTTTAATTCTATTCCGTTTGAGATTTAAATATATGTATATTCGTAAATGTTCGTGATTAGGATATTATTCAATTATTTTTTGTTGGTGTAAATATATGTTTTCTTTATTGGGTTGTTGAAAATATTTTACCTTATTTAATAATTTATTTGTTTTTCTTTACTTTCAACTACATCCGCTTTTAGGGTTTATTCTAGTAATACTACTAACAAAAATGATTGTAGGTTCCAGGTTTTAAATATGTTTGTGTCATTTTCCAATATGTCTTGATGGAATTCGGTAATAAGTGTATATAGTATTTGTTATAATTTTTAGAGGATTAATATTTGGGGTTTTAAGACATCGTTATTGCTAGGACTACTCTAAACTATCGGAAGATGATTTTTTTCTCTTAAATTTGGGGAGTTAACCCAAGAATTAAAATATTTTGGGCAGGGACAGGGGATGGCAGGTGAATAGAATCTAATATTGTATCTTTAGGGGAAAATATCTGTCAAATAAAAACTTTTACTTATTTTCTATGATCATTTGCAATTGTAAAACCAAACTTCGAGCCAATTGTAAAATTGCCGCTGCATTGTGTCGCTCAGCCATTTCTAGAAAAAAATTTGAATATTAAAAAAAAATATTTAAAAAATCTCAATTTTCCCCCTTACCATTAAAGAATTTAATGACATCCGTAAAATCCATGCTATTCGACAAAATAATATCTCGATATGTTTCCAACAGAGCCAAGGCCAAAAACAATACAAAATGTGCCGAGGCCACATGTTTGGCCGCCCATATCACCTCCCACGTCGAGAAGACATCATCGTAGACCAGCTCACGTTTGAAATCCAACAAAAACCAACGATAACAAAAATAGAAATGTGTATAATCACCATTCGAATCCATGAGATCATACATTTCCGAATCGAGTATCTGAATCAGCGATCTATAAGGGAGTAAGAAAAGAGAATAACTTATAACGTACTCTTCGCAAAACTTCTTTTCAAACTCTCTTTTACCTCATGTTGGCAAAATGCATATCCATTGCCCCGCCATTGGGGAAATTATCAATCATACGTTCCATTAGTTTGCAGAAACAGCTATAGGTCAGTGACTCATCATCGAAGATGACGAGGAGGGGAGCCACCAAATCACACATACCCTGCATATAGCCAATGTCCAAGTGTTCCCAAACATAGCTGGAAAAGAGTAAAAGAAGAGGGTCATAAAAAATTACTAGGAGGTTTTGTAAAATAAAAATCTCAATTAAAATCTTTTGGTTCCAATTGTCTGATTTTTTAAGAAAGCCTACTTCGACACGATATTTCACAATATATGAACTTACGTCGATATAACATTCCTCAGCTTATCCAAATTTTCATTGGCAAAGTAGGGGTAATTTCGATCACAACGTTGCACATCCTTTTCAATACGATGAAGATTCAATCCAAACTGTTCCAGGAGTTCACTCTGAAGGAAAAAAAATATTTTAATTTTTTTTTTTCTGCTTTTCTTGATGCCCCATTGTTTTATGGGTTAATATATCTATACATATATCTATATCTATACCTATATCTATATCCATATATATATAAACATCTGTATCTATAAGATTCCAGCTTCAGCCGTTTCTTCTTGGTGTTGATTCTGACTGACGGACTTCACGATTCATCATTCCAGACGAAACGTCTAAAGCTAGAATCTTGAAATTTTGGTTGAGTGTCGGAAAAGGCAGGGTTTTTAGAAAATCGTACTACAAGGGTAGGGAAAATATAAAAAAGTACTAAATATGTTACCCCTTTGTATTTGAGGAAGCTGTACAGCTAGGACTCTTAAATTTGGAATGAGGGTCACTAGTGGAGTATATGACACATGTAACAAAGGGTTTTTAGAGAGAGAGAGAGAGAATCAAAGTTGAGGAATAAAGTCGATATAAGAATGTAGATCTGGAAGTGTGTACTATACGAAAAGTACTAAGTGTATCTGTACGAAAAGTACTAAATTTGATAAAATTCTAATATGGAGCTGGAATTTTGAAATTGCTGGCGGAGAGTAGGATGAGGATATGGTAGTGTTTCACAAATTTGTACTTATGTTCACGAAAAGTACTAAATGGTACTCAATTTGGTACAATTTAGATTCGGGTAAGCTAATAGAGCTGGTATCCTGAAATTTAAGATAAAACTATTGCATTATAGGAGGTATGTAGGCAGTTTGGAAATTCGTACTTATGTGTACAATTTAAATTTTGAGAGAACTGGGAGAGTTTGAATCCCAAAAAGGTGGAAATAAGATTTCTATTGGATTATATGATATAGGTGGTAATGGAAATTTGTAGCTATGTGTACTAAATGGTACTAAATTTGGTACATTTTAAATTTGGGTGAACCAACAGAGCTGGTACCCTGAAATTTGGAAACAAGTTTACTGCATGCATGTGGTTATGGACATTTGTACTTTGATGTACTAAAAGGTACTAAATTTGGTACAATTTAGATTTGGGCGAACCGATATAGTATACTGAAATTTGGAAAAAAGACAACTGGTATATTGTATTGGTATATGGAGGTAATTTTGGAATTTAGTACTAAATACTATTTTTACGAAAATGTACAAAATTTGGTACAATTTTTGTGAACCAATTGGTATTAAATTTGTGAAATTTGGAATTGGGATGCTTGTGAGAGTGTAGGATTGTGGTATGTAGGAAGTATTGGATATTCGTACTTATGTGTACCAAATTTGATACAATTTGGATTTATGTGAACCTATATGGGTGGAATCCTGAAATTTGTTTTTTTTTTTTTTTTTTTTTTGGAAAAGTACAGAAAGCAACAATTGGTAAAAAAAATAGTATTGATTGTACGGATAGAGTTGGATTTCTGAATTCTGGTATCAGAATTTTTATGTAGTGTTGTGATATGAAGGTGGTTTTGAAAATATGTAACGTAGATGTACTAAAGGTAATACATTGTACTAATATTCGAATTATGCTCGATATTGGTTGGTAAGGTTGAGATATGAAGTGGTTTTGGAAATAAATACTGACGTGAACGAAAAATATGCTATACTAAATTTAGTATTGAGTGAAGGGATATGGCTGAAATCCTCAATTTTTTTGGTGTATGTGACTAAGACATGTGGTTTTGGAAGTGTGAACTAAAATTGTTCGAAAAGTACTAAGTGGTACTAAATTTGGAATTGGGTGAAGTGATAGGGCTGTAATCCCGAACTTTTATATTGAGGTCGCTGTTGGTGTCTGTGGTTAAGATATGGAAGTGGGTTTGGAAATAATTGTTCGAAAAGTACTAAGTGGTACTACATTTGGTATTGGGTGAAGGGATTGAGCTGGAATCTCGAAATCTAATATTGAGGTCTATGTTGGTATCTGGGATTGAGATATGGAGGTGGTTTTGCACATTCGCACTGTATTTGTTCGAAAAGTACCAATTGTACCAAGCCATATGGCTACAGAGGGTATATCATTTGATATGAACAAAAGTTCCTCATCGAAATAACGTCTCTTTATACCAAATCCATTTGGGTCTACCGATGTCCGACAGTCTGTCTGGCTGGTGCGCAGGATAACCCTTGATTTGATTACATGATTTGATTTTAACGTGGTATATAGTAATATTATTGTCAAACTTAGTTCAAGGATGGGCTTATCTAACTTTTCAAATCCCAATATTTGTATCAGCCCTAAGTCGGTTGTGAAAATGGAATATATGGTCCACTCCATCATACATCTCCCTCACATAGGGTCAACATTTTAAAAATTATAACTTTCATAAAATGGGAAGTAATTATCTGATTTTCTTCATATTTCATACATCCCGATATTTCTACTAACATGATATCTGGTGTGAATAAAACGCGAAACGATCATCATACTATTTTTAAATTCAGCACATCCCAATATTTCCGATAACACAAGATCTGTTATGAAGATGGAATATATCGATCCCCTCCTTCGGGTACCTCCCCCACAAAGGGGTTATAATTTTAAATAACCGAAATGCTCATAAAATTCAAAATTAGTATCCGATTCTATTCAAATTTCACACATCCCAATATTTATAATTTCTGGGCATTTTGTTTTAAGTTTTGACCTTTTCTTGGGTAGGTACCAGAAGAAGTGGACCGATATTGTCCATCTCCGAACTCGATCTAAGTTTGATAATAATATTACGATTTACCAAGTCTGAACCAAATCGGATACTCCCTTCTAGAGTTATCGTGTGCACCAGCCAGACAGAAGGACGGACGGACATAGCTAGATCGATTCCAAATATCATGAAACGGATTTGGTCAAAAGAGACCTAGGGTCTAAAACCGTTATTTCGATGAGCTACGTTTTGGCCGTATCAAATGATATATACCCTCTGTAGTCAAATGGCTGAAAGCATAACAATTTGCGTCAAACTTGACAAATTGTGAATTTCGAGCTCTAAAAGGGTCTAACTCGAGCTGCTAGGACGAATATAAAATTTTAAGGTGGAGTTTCCGTTGACGAAGTAGCGGGCACTAGTCAATTGAAAATTCGAATTAATGATTTTTACCTTTAGAACCTAAACCCACATCGTCTCAAATCTATGCAATATTTTAAGATCCCAATATTTTAGTAGCTCTAGTTTCCTGTTCATCTTAGCAATAATGAAATATCTGTTCCCATAAATAAATCTCCAACTTACACTATAAACACCACCATTTGAGCTGGCCGGGGAAACACAGGTTGACTTGGGCTCCTGTAGGGCATCAAGGGAAGTGGGCACGGTTTGTTCCTCCAACGGTGACATGGGTCGTGTGGTTTTCTGTGGACTTGGATCCCAGTTGACAACATCCACTGAGGCATTTGTAACAATTACCGATGTTGTGGATTCACGCTCTTCCCCCTTACCCGCCGACGCCAGCACTTGCTCTTGATCATCATGCAAATGTTCCTGAAAATCATCTGCACTCAGGTACTCAGGACTTAGAACAGATTTAGGTTCCATATCTTCAGATGTTAATAATTGAGCAGATGGAGTTGACTTCAGGCCTTGGTAGCCATTGCCAACGGTGTCATATGAGGAAGACGAGTTCGAGGCAGATTCTTGCCGTTCTTTCGGGGTGGCTGCAGGGGCTTGGAAATCGCTGGCGACTTGATCGTCAAATACTGAATCTTCGGCAATTTCATCCACATGACCCGAATCGGTGCTGGTTTTCATGGCTCTTGGTATGGGTTTTACTGTTAAATGACTCGACGAGGTGTGGGCTGGAGTTTTCTGCTCATCATCGAATTCCAAGTCACCGGGATCTGATAAATCCGACATATCTTCGAAGACTTCATTCTCCAAATCGCCGATTTCAATTTCTACTGCCCGCACGGTTTTGTCCTGACCACTATTGCTACCGGAACTGAGTTTGGCCACAGCCCTGGCGGTTTTCTCTTTTTCCCTTTGCTGGACAATGGCATCCACGGCTAGCCATTCACTCATTGTTGTCTCATAATAATGTTTACAGGTTTCATCTTGCTTCAGGCGTTCTTCGAGGGTGGAACCAAAGCTATAGTGGCCCAGGAGATAGGGCCACACTTCTTTCCGCAACTGGGGAGTCACACCACCAAAATACACTAAACGGAAGACTTCATTGGCATTTTTGGCCACACCATTTTCATTCAGGACATTCCATTTTTCCACGGTCAGACCCTCCTCGTCGGCTTTCACTGAGAGGAAAAAAATTTGAAAATTGGATTTGAAATATCCTTGGGAAGCCACTTACTCTCTGGGGTAATCCTGCCATTTACCAACCCCGATAAATGTGTCCTCACTGTGGATAGATGCCTACAATAGGCCAACCAGCCATAAAAGGCCCGCGATATGATTTGCCTCCTCATGGTGGAACAGACCATTTCAATACTGGCATTCTGTTGAGTTTGCAGAAGCGGAGATTCCAGTGGATGCTGATCAATGGAAAGACTTTTGCTGGAGCAATCACTGCTACCCGTTGTGGAACAGCTACTCAATTGAGCTCTACGTGGAGCACTGCGCACAAAATCCAAAATAGAATGGGCAGCAGCTGGAGGTATACAAAATATTAACATCCGACTCAGAACAGGGATTACCTTTAAAACTCCTTACCGAACTCCTCATGTTTACTCTTGCTAACAATGCGAAACACATAATCAATGGGCGTTTCATCAAAGGATTCCATAACCGAGGGTAGGATACGCCTTCGTACACTCTTAGGCCAGGGAAAGATTTTGCCAATACCACGTTGAGACCACAAAGGAGGATCTAGCTGTCCATGTGGTAGAAGACCAGTTTCCAAGCAACTTAAGAACTGTTGCATATGACCTCCTTCGGGAAATATGATTGGTGGCCTCTGGACTCCATCTTGACTCACCAAGATGACAGTTCCTCCACTATCCTCACCCCTATTCTGATGACAATGGACATAGACAATGTCATCGACATTTATGTTCAAGGCATATGCCCAATATGAGTCCTTGTCCTCCTCCTCATCCTCGGCCTCCTGATAACCATTCATCAACTGGTTGGGAGTCCATTTTATGGTCAAGGTCTGGATATGCTGATGTAGACTCAAATAACCCAGCATAGGCTCGCTGCAGTCCTTCTACAGATAAAAAAAATTAAATTAAAATCCAGTTACATATTTCTTCGATTTCCGAACCTACCGGCAATACTTGCACATTATTTTTGCCATACAACAGAGTGGCTCTGGAATTCTGATGCAATGACTCCACATAGTCCTTGGCCACGGTACACGAAGCAATTGACTTAAACGTCCCGGTATTTGCCTCATCAGTGCTGGTGTTTAAACTTCGCTTGAAATTTATAATCGGTGCTCGGGAGGATACAGATGATGATCGCCGTCCGGAGCTAATACGATGCCGCTGTACCAATTCATCGGCGTGAGGATCGGTCCAATAATGATCAGCTGTTTTGGATTTTGTAAATTCCAAAGCACACGGCCCCACCAGTAAGGAACTTAGAATGCATCCATAATCGGAATCAGCCACCAGTGAATCTCTGTCATAATATGAGCTGGCATTGTCCACGAGGTATTCAATGATTTTTACCAATCTCTTCTCGTACAGCGCCAAACGTATCCAGAGGTATCTGAAGGAAAAAAGAGAGTAAAAGGGATTATACCATGTTAACCACGGTTAAGTCAGATTTTCAACACCTTAAGAAGCAATCAGTCGCCTAAGAGACATGTCTCCGGTTAAAAATGTTTTTTAATATCCTCCACCATAGTATGGTGGGTATATAAAGTTTGTCATACCGTTTGTAATACCTCGAAATATCAGCATAAATTTCTACGTCGACTTAGTGATGTCCGTCCGTCCGTCCCTCTGTCCGTCTGCGGAAATCACTCTAGCTTCCGAACGAAGTAAGTTGATAAAATCTAACTCAAATGTATATCATGTCTGCAGGACACGTTTTGATCCACGTTTTGGTATAGCCCCCATATACCAGTACCTCCCGATATTCTGTATTTTGATGATTTTAGCAACAGTATTCACCGGGAATGGTTCAAATTTTGTATCTGAAGTTCGTAACTACAACGATACTACAACCTAAGACAGAAAATTGTCCGTGCAGGTCCACGTCTTCATATAGCCCTCATATAACGGTACCTCCCGATATTCGGAATTTTGATGATTTTAGCGACATTATTCACCGGAATTGTTTCAAATTCGGTATTTGAAGTTCGTAATGGATACTACATCCTAAGACAGAAAATTTGTCAGTACAGGTCCACGTCTTCGTATAGTCCCCATATAACGGTACCTCCTGATATTCGGTATTTTGATGATTTTAGCTACATTATTCACCGAACTTTATTTCAAGTTTCGCATTTGAATATTGTAATGGCATATGACAAAAGTTGCCTATCCAGGTCCTCGTCGTCCTACAGACCCTAATATAATGGCCACATTCGGTATTTTAAAGATTTTAACAGAATTTTTAAGGTTTTTTTTTTTTTTTTTTTGAAAATTTCCAAATTCGTTCCAAATGGTGGAGGGAATTCTCTACTTACTTCATTGATGCCAATGTGTTGGACGAACAGCTTGCACTCATAACACTGGTCACCGAACTACTGCTGCCCTTCTTCAACATGGGAGGGCGATTAAAACTTTCACTGCTCGACGAGGAACGTTTGCTAGGATCTTGGGCCTCAATATCTTGCACCATTTTACTGATATGTTCGGCATCTGGACAAAATTTGGCAATTTTGTGTAACAGGGCTGTGGTCGATGACGTTTTGAATAGGCCCAAAGCACGGCGACGCAAACCCTGGCTGAGGCAGGCTTCCACGGCGGCACATAGCTGTGTAACTGTTGTACTCTCTTCGTGGACATATTTTTTCGTCACTGCCTCTTCCATTAACTGTTTGACCTCTTTCTTAACGGCCGATATGAGACGTTCCTTGAAATCTGTCTCTGCAAAAGGTAAAAAAAAAACAAAATTCGATTAACCGGAGGTTGTTAAATATTTACGGCTATAAATGTCACAAACAAATAGGAAAACAAAAACCTGTTCTTAATTCCGTAAGTGGCTGGCAATTTCTATGCAGATCCATAATTTTATGGCTTTATTATCCAAAAGCTAGACATCGCAATGCCATTGCCATTTAATATTGATGAAGAGATAAAAGGTTTATTATCCAATCAAAAGAGGGGAGACAAACGACCGGGAAACAACAACAACAACGCTTTGAAAAGTGGCAGCTGAATGGATGTTGAGTCAAAATAATTATGTTTTATGCGGCACCAAGCCATAATAAATAACTTTTTACGTTGGCATTAAACAAACATTAACCACGTCAAGCAAGTAATGATATCCAGCTAAAGCAACAGGCCACATATGCGCTGGGTGGCGCGCACACACACCCACCCTCACACTTCAACCTCTAACTTCATACCAAGTCATATACTAATGTACTTCCACACACGGCCACCATTACCATCAACATCATCATCACCGTCGTCATCCTCGAGTCCACTTCCATTACTAGCTGACTTTCCAAAAATCTCATAAAATTTACTCACAGCCATAACGAGGTCTTTGAATCCCCACAGGGCAAAAATGCTCTACTTCCTTCCTCCCATCCATCCATCTGCCGTCATCAACAGCCATATGAAGTGCAAAGCGTAATCGTGTGCAACAGTCGAAGAACTTATTTCCAAATGATACTAAACTAACGACCAATTCACACCCCATTGATCCATTTCCTCCACCTCCTCCCACATCGTGTATTTGTACTTGGCGTCACACAAGGCACCATGCCATGTGTTCGACGGGACACTATAGCAACATGCAACAAGTCTGTTAAATATTTGAATTTAACAAGGGAGGTGTAGTAGTGAGAATAAAAGACACCCTCATGGACACAGTGGAAAAATAAAACAAGTTTTGAAGAAGATTTAAATGGCAATTCCGAGTCGATATAACCACATCCGTTCGTCTGTCTATTTTATGAATATTTTTTTAAGGACATCCTGGCCAAAAATTGGGAATAGTTTAAGAATTTTCTGATGACGAAGCATTAACTTTTAAAATTATTATTCAAATCTCCTGGCAAAAAATTGAGAATTTTTAACAAAAAAAAAAAAATAAAGAAAGGATAAAAGTCGGGCGGGCCGACTTTATGATACCCTACACCACTCTTCATATTTAGTAGAGCTACCCATGAGGAATAAACGGAAGGAAGAAACGTAACGTATAGGGAATTTAAAAGAATTAAATAATACCAACTGCAATCGGTTTTGAATGTGTATTGTGGTTTAAAAGTAGTTATATTTTAAAGCTGAACGGAAGATATATCCTCTCTGAATCTACTTTTCCTACTCTAAATCAATATATCCTCCTCAGAATCGATAGATCCTCCTCTGAATCGATTTCTACTAAATTTGACGGATGTACTTGTGTCTGAATCAATAATAATCAAAAACCAACCTATTTGAGCTGATGTTACCATTTTCAGGCACAGTAAACGTGAAATCGGATGATGATATATATGGGAGCTATATCCAAATCTGAACAGATCTCTATAAAATTAAGCAGAGGTATTTCTATACTGAATCTAATAGTTGGTACCAACTATCGTTGTTGTGGAGAGGATTTTACGAATATGAGGGACATCAATATAAAATCGGACGAAACATATACATGGGAGCTAAAGCTATATCTAAAACGATTTTTACAAAACGTGATACACTTTAATTCTGGCGGAATTCGTTCATCCGTGCCAAAAACCATTTAATAAGGACTTATATTAACCATTTGGTGCAGAATAAACTTTAAATCGGATAAAGATACAGGGTGAGATAAAAAAACTACAACAAAGTCAAACGCCATAATTTTTACATTTTTTTTTTTTTTAATTTCGGAAATAGCATCAAATTTTAGAATAAATTTAGATTTATTCGAATTGGTTACCTTTTGCAAGAATTATGGCCTTCAAACGGCCAATGAAACCGTCACACGCTGTCAGAATGTTGCTCTGCGATATTTTGGTCCATTCTCGGCGAAGCGCTTGCTTGAGGTGATCGAAACTTTGGTATTTTTTAGTGCCAACCTTGCTTTCCGAAATACTGCAGACACAATAGTCCAACGGTATCCGGAGATTTTGTTGGCCATTGTGCGCTGGAAATGAAGCGAGGAACCTCATTTCCATTCTTGGTTGGCGCGTGCTGAGTCCTGTTGGAATGTCCAAGGTCTGCGGCCAAAATGTTTGCTTAATATTCGCCATTTATTCCGATGCCACGGTAGATTAATATGAGAGGAGAGCGACCATCGACTGTTATGGCGGCCACACCATCACCATTGGCGGCGCTAGAGTTCTGGTGTCTGGTGGCCAACCGAAGGTGCGCATTTTCAACTGATCTCTTTGGCAAGTAAACACGATCATTTTTATTGTTTTTTTTTTTTACAAACTGCTCATCTGAGACGGAGAAAACCAAATTCGGCAGTTCAACACTTTCGGCCAAGCGAGGCAACTCTTTGCTCTTTTGAATCTATTTTCTTTCTGTTGTGGCGTAAGTTCTTGCAGTTTTTTGGAATTTCAATGGCTTGACCCCGAACTCATTTTTCAATATTTGCCTAATGGAATATCGCAATAGGTTCAGCTCACGAACCATTTTTCGGCCACTACAACGCGGGTTTCGATCTAGTCGCTTCTTTACTTTTCGAACCATTTCTGCTGATGTTGCTGTTTTCTTCCGTGCACTTCCTTGACGTCGGGCTACGCTACCAGTACCACGGTAACGAGCGATGGTACGAGACACAAAAGATTTATTCACTTTCAAATGCTGCTAACGATATGCTAAAGATAGCCACTTGTGTTTTTATACCCTACACCACAAGGTGGTCAGGGTATTATGACTTTGTGCATTGGTTTGTAACAGGCAAAAGGAAACGAGATAGACCTGCTTCCTTTCGATGTGATTCTACATTCTCAGTCGATTTATGCATGTCCGTCCGTCCGTCACCCGATCCAGATGAAATTTTGCACAAACCATTTGTTTGGCCCAAGGACGAACCCTATTGAAATTGGAGGTAATCGGTCAAAATTTAGATATAGCTCCCATATATATTTTCGTCCGATTTGCCTTTTATTGTGCACCAACCGTGTAATATCAGCCCGTATAGTATGGAGTTTTGCACATACAACCAAATTGGGCCTGAAGATATGTAAGCAAAATTTGAATGAAATCGGTTCAGATATAGATATAGCTCCCATATATGTTGTTCATCCGATTTGTTATTTCTGTCCTCCGCAGCCGTAATATGCACTCTGTAACAACAATATTTGGGGAAATATATCAAATAAAGCTCAGAAATACATTTGCTAAATTTTATCGAGATCGGTTCAGATTTGGATATATCTCCTACATATAACTTCGTCCGATTTACCTTTTATTGTGCACCAAACGTCTAATATTCGCCCAAATGGGATGAAATTTGGTACTTACGAATCGAGAAGCTAGTATAAATTCGGTAATATGCACTCCGTAACAACGATATTCAGGAAAATATATGAAATACAGCTCATAAATATCTTTGCCAAATTTTTTTCAAGATCGGTTGAGATTTGGATATAGCTCCCATATATATCAAATGGTCTTTTGAACTTTAAATTATAATTATAATCATAGCGTGTATGATTGAATTCTCCCATAAAATTTTTAATTGTTATGTAGAGCTCTACTAAATTAGCAAATTGGTGTAGGGTATCATTAAGTCGGCCCCGCCCGACTTTAATTCTTTCTTTACTGTTTCTTTTTTTTTTTTTTGGAATCTTTAAAGATCTGTAATCAAAAATTTTAGTTTTTTTAATGCGTTTTTTCGAAGAAATACTTAAAAACATTTTTAGGATTTACTGCCCAAAATATTAAATTTTTCAAAACAAGAATATCGTTGGCTTGAAGCGTTTTTTAAAATACTTTCTAAAATGGATTTTTTAATATTAAAAAATTTTAAATCGAATACTCTATAAATAAAAACATTTTTAAGATCGGATCTGAATCTGATTTTATTTAAGAAAATCTTGGAAAATATTTTTTACGGATTTCCTGATTAAAACCGTATTTTTGATATTATCTCCTTGGCAAATACTGCCAACTATACCTATTGCCACTGTTGATGCTTCCCAGAATTTTTATAAAAATAAAATGATATCAAAAATTTTAATAAAAAAAAATCGTTAGAAAAACATCTCTCAAATGAACCCCCGAAGTAGCGTTCCTTCATAAGTAATTTGAAATTAATGAATTTGAAATTTGAAACAATTCCGTTAAAAAAAGCCGCTAAAATCATCAGAATACCCAATATTGGGAGGTATCGTTATATGGGGGCTATATGAAAACATGAACCAACATGGCCTATTTACGAACTTAACCAGTCTACTGGCACGAATACATATGTTTGAAAAATTTTAGCCTTCTATCTCAATTCGTTCGAAAGATAGCGTGATTACAACAGACAGACAGATAGATAGGCGGACATCGCTAAATCGACTTAGAATTTTACGCTGATCAATAATATATATACTTTTTTGGATCTGACATGAGTATTTCGAGGAGTTACAAACGGAATGACAAAGCCAATAAACCCTCCATAGTATGGTGAAGGGTATAAAAATGGTGGAAAATATCTTTTTAAGGATTTCTTGGCCAAAATTAATATACCCTCCATAATATAGTGGGGGATTAACAAATTATATATATTCTGTCGTTCTTCTCCTACAGTATTAAACCGGCCATGTTCGACCCCCGAACTGGCACAAGGGACTTGCAAAATGTAAAAAATTGCTTTAAAAATTGTCGATTAAATTTTTAAACATCGTAATATAAGGTGTTATATTTATGTGGTGCTATACAAAAACGTAGCAACAGACGAAGGAGCATCCTTAAGTCGACATAGAATTTTATGCTGATGA